GCTCAGACAATTATTCTTCACTTGTTTCTCTCTGAAAATCATGTACTAAGCTTTAGTGTTATTAGGGCTGGTCAGCTCATGCAGCATAAACACCATAATGTGAATTTAGTATTTTCCATTGTTTTTTTGGTAGTCCATGAATCAATCCCAGTTCACCAGTTTCTGCTGTGTCTCCATAATAAGCTTTCTCTCTTGGTCAATGTTCTGTGTGCTTGGTTCATTCAGTTCACATGTTTTGTGGGTTTTTTTATCTTGTTCTGAGGAACAAGTCTCTTTTTAAAAACAAGGAAATCCTAAATCTTAGATTGCTGCTAACATTCCCTGGGGCTGCGTGGAAGGATTTGTTCTTTAGGCTTCCTGAATGGTTTCTTGGTTTGCAGGACCTCTCGCCCCAGTCATGAACAATGTTGTTATTTGTGTCTTTATTGCATCCAGACACTGACTTGGGCACCAGTGGTGCAGGTGCTGGACAAACACTGAGGTATTTGTCTTCAACTGGGTGGTCCTTGTCCTAAGGAACTTATGAGATCAGGGTTTGCAGTGTGCTGCAGGTCAGGTCTGTCTTCATCCTTCTGGCTCTAGTGCAATGGTGAGAGGTAAATAGTAGAAAGAACAGAGTGGAAAGAAGGTCTTCTGCCTGAGATGTCCATCTGAGGTAATCCCGGGATAGTGGAAAATTGAGGAATTCATATATATACCCTGGTAAATATGTATAAATGAAGGATTTGAAGAGACCTTCAGTCTGTTTGGGAACAATTGCAATTCCTGCTAAATAAGACAGCAATTCATGTGGCAACTAGGGTGGTCTTGATTTTTAACCAATAAAATTACCAGACTCTTGATCCCTGGATTTTTCTGCAGTATCTGTTTCTTTCTTCTTCTTTCTCCTTTTCCCAGCCAAATGCTCAAACATACCCAGAAAAGCCTGTTCCTTTCCCAGCTGGCTGCATCTCAGCGGAGAGAATCTGTGGCCCTCTCCCATTTCAGGCCTGTTTGACCTTGCCTTGTAACCAGATGTTTCACTGGAGAACGTACACTTGGGAGAGCCTGGGTTGCATTCAGCTGCTGGTGAACTCTCTGCCTCGGTCAAGCGGCTGTAAACAAAACCAGCCCAAGAAAAACAACCTTTTCTAAACTGGGTTGGCCAAGGACAGAACTGAATCCAGAGATGCAGATGGCCATTAGCGTGCTGATGAGGCTGCAGAGAGAAGCTCATCAGAAGCCATTCCCGATCTTCAACCGTGGGTTTCACTTAGCTGAGGGATAACAGCAACAACTATTGTTCCCCTGGTTTCCAGGAGTTTGGAGATGCGTGACACACAGACCCCTTCCAGTGCTGCCCAAGGCACATCATGCTGTTTGCAGCTGTCCATACATTTGAGTGAGTTCTTGGCCAAGAGCATTTAGAAACTGGTGGCTTGGTGGCATGAAAGTCTCGGAAGAAGGACTCGCAAGAACACCACAGGAAAATGATGCATCAAGGACATCCTGTTTTTTTGAGAGGCATGTTGGGATTATTCCCCTGGGGTTTGTAGACAGGCTTTCTGCAGAAATGGTCGTGTCTTCCACACTTGATTGGGAGAAGCTGTGAGCAATTTCATCTGGGGTTCAAACTACAGCAGGAGTTTAGATTGTCAGAACATTTTTCTTCAAATTTGGGAAGTGGCCAACCCTCAGAGTTCTCATTCTACACAAGGTGCAGTGGGATACTCATTAGCTTAGATGTGGTGAAAGCCTCACTTGCAAGATGGGCTCTATAACAGCATGGGGTGCCCTCATCCTGTAGTGGAAAATTACAGGGGTTGGGGGCAGCTTGGTTTGGACCTGGGGTTCAGATCTGAGAAGGCTTTTTCCATTTGAGTTGTGCTTGGCCAGGTTAGAGGACAGAGGCAAGATTTGCCCCAATATCTCTGAATGGAATCAGATCCTGAGCCAGAGCCATTCTCCAGTGAAAGGGTGTATTATGCTGAGTGGAGATCCCTGAGAGAGGGATTTCTTGGCAGACTGATCACTGCTGTACGAGGGAGGATGGAGGCCTCTGACTGAGCACTGTACACACAGAATTGTGTTGATATCCACATCAGTGATTTCTCCTCCACAAGGGTCAGGCTTGCCTGTCCCTGAACATCTGCTACCACTCAGCAGACATCCACCACTGTGTTATTTATCCAATATTCAGTATTCCCTCAGAGGAAAATTTGCCATCTTCTGTGCCTATTTGTATACTACTCCACTTTCAACAGCCAAGTACCAGCTTGCTGTAGGAAATGTCGAGGTGACGTGGCTGCAGGCCGTGGCCAGTTTCTCCTCTGATCCATCTCTGGCCCCATAAATCATTTTTAATAACCAGAGTGCTCTTTATGCAGCAGTTCTAATGTGGGCTAGATCTGTTTAACCTAATCTGAGTATTAAAGCTGGTCACAGTGATATCTGAGCACCTGTGACTTCCTCAGACCAGCTAGAATTCAGGACTGAGAAGCCAATGACTTTTCCTGTCCACGTTGTACTGGCACATCCCTCTTGGAGTGATTAATCCCTTCCAGAGATGGCATTAGGGTCAGTTACACCAAGGTAAGAAGTGATGAATGGGGCCGTAGGGCAGATACTCCTTTCAGATTCCCAAATAAAAGAGTTTTCAGACTTTCCAGACCTTGGCTTCAGCATCTCAGGGAGACATTCTTCCTTTGCAAGAAGCTCTTGGGGTTGCATTGCTGAGCCAGCTGGGCACAAGGAGAGAGATGAAGAGAGGAAGGGATCTGCTAACACTACTTTGCCCTCTGTGCTTAGAGTGACACTTCACTACGTTTTAAACATCCGCTTCATCATTCCTGCTGCCCGATATCCCACTATGGCCCCAGCAAGAGCTATTTTAATCCCTCATCATTCATCAGGAGCCCCTTCCTGTTCCCTTTCTATCTGCTCCTGCCTGGATGTATGTGCATCCCTCCACTGCAAAATCCCCCGTGGTAGCTGTTGTCGGAAAGGTCACCCAGGGATATTCACAAACAGCAGGTGTAAAATTAACAACTGGTGTGATTCCAATCATCTGGCAGGAAGGAAAACATTGGACAATAGGTAGAGCCAGGGTAAAGTTTCCAGCTGAAGGCTCATTGCCTGATATAGGATGGCAGATTGGTGGGCTGGGAACTCTCCTAAGAATGTGAAACCGATATGGTATTAGCAGCCCCCCTGCCCCTCCAACACGATTGTTTTCAGCTTGCTCAAAAATATTTGGAAATGTTACTGAGCAGGACGTGTGGGTGAGAAGGCATCTTCCAGCCAATCAGCCGAGTACATTGCAGCCCTCCCCTTGAATTTCAAGCTTTTGTTTTCCCTGATGGAAGGGAAGGTGAATCCTCCACGATTAATTTAGGGATATTAAAGCATTTTGGATGAGTTCCTGCAGCACACTAACAAGTGGTGCTCTCAAGGATTGCGGAAATTGCGGAGTGATGGCAAGATAGATGGGTGGATATATGTGATCGATACGGATTCTGACACCTTATCATTTTTGTTAGTGGAACTGATTTTAGCTGTGTGAAACAATGGGAATTTCACTTGATAATGGCATCTGGGTGGTACAAATCTTCCGGGGGCGTGAATGGAATGGTAGATCCTGTTAGACCTTGACTAATGTCAGCAACCAGAACGGCGATTTGAGTCTAGGAGCACAGGAGTAAGATTTACTGTGCTGTGGATGTATCCAAGGAAAGTTGGCAACACTGAACGCAGTGAAGACAATGGAGAATGGCAAAGGTTGTTGAGAAGTTTGGGTTAAACCACGGTGAGCTGAATTGTTCTGCAAGTATTGAAGTGAGTGCCGTAGATGGTCCCGGTGTGGAGAAAGAGTTCTGCCAGAGGTTTTAATTAACACACAGCCCTTCCTCTGCTGGAGTTCAGCACAGAATTCTGTTTTTTATGGAGTAAAAATAAATGTATGGGGATTGCTGCACCTCATGAGTGCTACATCAGTGCCTACAGCTCTCCAGCTTCTTTAATCTCCTCTGCCCCTCTCCTTCACCACTCTCAAAGCTCTCAGTGTGACATAACATCCTTTGGAAAAATATTACCACATCACAAACAGAACTTGTAGGCTCCTGCCCAGCTCACACAGCATCCCATCCTCTGTGTGAAAGCTTTGATACAAACTCTGTCCACCACCACAATAATTAGTCCTGAAACAGTTCTCTTGCGGGTCTCTGAGCCTACATAGGGATCCCGTTGCTCTCGCTTAGCAGGGATCTCACACGTGGACTGTGCTGACAGAGGGCGCCGGGGCTGAGAGGGGGTCTGATAACGTGGCATACCCCTGACATACGTTGTCAGCAGCTCTGCCATCGCCAGCGAGAGCGAGGGGGAGGACTGGAATTCTCCCGTTCAATTGGGCGAATTTGATACCTTCTCGTTCTTGTGTCCTCGTGGCTCGGCCACTTGACATTTCTAAACATTCTCAAGCAAGTTCACTGGAAAACTATCCCATGTCAGGAGCTGGTGATGTCAAGGCTAATAACAGTCCTGGGGTCAAATCCTGCTGATCCTTCAGGCAAGGACCTCAAGATTTGGCTCCAAGTCAACAACAAGGTCTGTCACGTCAACGATGGCTTATTATGAATCCCAGCGCAAGCCTTTCCCAAACAAAGTGCTTTCGTTTGGTTTTCCGTGCAGGAAAAGGTTAGCAGTTTCCAAAGGCGGGTTCTCCCTTCCTTGTGTGGAGCGGAGAGCAAAACCGGTGAGCTTGGAACGGGCAACAGCACTTTGCCTTAGAGCAGGAGACAGTGACAGTGACAAATCTTTATCTGGGAAATTCTTCTCTTCCCCTCTGGAACGGTACAAGCCGATTGTTTTCATCTCTAGAGATTCTGTTGTTTTTTGTGGGTTTTTTTTTCTCTCTGTCCCTTTCCATCATTTGGATGTAACAATACCACTGGGCTGCCTTTGTTAACGTCACAATGGACCTCAGAAAGTGGGAACAAGCCATATTGGGAAAGGCACGGCTGGATGTCAGGGAAGGAGATAGCAGGGATCCTACTGGCTTACAGTCGTGGTGCACTGAAAAAAAGGAATTGTACATTGACATTCCCTTTGCTATTACTTTATAATCCTGGCACTGCGTTGAGAATGATGCCACTGGAATGGTGTCCAAAATGATAATTATAACCACTTCCTATTTTTAATTTCCTCTTAATAAGGGGCACAGCGGTCATCATCCTAACAATGATGATTCTGCTCTGCCCTTCCAGATGTCAGAACATTATAAAGCATGGATTAACAAACACTGATGTCTCTCTACAGGCCGTTCTTCTGAACTGAAAACTCCTGTGCAACCCAGCCAAAACACACATCAGCAGGTACAGACCTGAGCACTACAGAAAATGCTGCACCTGCTTTGCTGCTGGCCTCATTTTACAAGGGAGTGTTTGAAATAAGGTGACTCGCTCCAAGTCCCTTGGTGAGTCAGTGGCAGAGAACAGATTCAGCTTTCACATCTTCCTATTTTTCTCTGTCAAATGGCCTTTTTTTTTTTTTTTTTTGCTATATATTAGAAGGCATTTGACATGAGGTTCCTAAATATGTAAGCTGATGTTCAGAATTGCTGAGTCCTCACTATTTGCCCTCCAGGCAGTACCAAAACAAGATATCCATGGGGAAAGCTGTCTTTTCTTGAATATCAGCAACCACTAATAGTTATTCTTCTTTATAGACTCATCTATGTTTTTGCAGGTGGACTCAAGCTCTGCACACCCATCCTATGCACACATAATTAGCACAAGAAAAGGACCAGAGTAGACAGCCCTGCTCTTAACAACATGACTCTTTCACACGCTGTTTCCCTCTTAAAAATCTGCCTGATGATAGGAAATGCTTTGACTGGGAGGGTTTGCACTATGGTTATCAAAAGTCTTAGCTAAGGGAAAGTTGGATGGTGTGGTTGGCTGTGTGACGCTGCTTCTGAACAGCTCTTGACTCCAGAGAGATTGGGTTTCTCATTTTGCAAAGCGCTCGTCTCCCGCTGGCTTCTAGGAAGTTTCTGTGGGATCTCTCTCCATTCAAGGTCAGATTTCACATATCTCCTGAGATCCTAGAACCAGGGGTCTGCACTAGAGGAGCAGAAAGGAGAAGACTATATGAGGTTAGGAACATCTGAGCAAAACAGCCTTTATGGCTAAGACAGCAATTCCAATTATCCAGCACTTAGGCATCAAGAAGATTCAGATAAGAGGTCTCAGATTTAGCTCCTCTCTTCTCCCTGCAAGTTAATGTGCCACTTTTCTTCCTTTTTTTTTTTTTTTTTTAAGCAGACAATCAAATCTGTGATAGCAAATTTCAAGTTAAAAGGAAAAGATTGTCTCTGTAGAGAATGGAAAGAACCATTTTGGCTCTCAGGTGAGTTTTGTGATCCACCTGAAGCACGAGTAGATGTCATTGCACACACATTAAAGAGAAGCTGGTGAGCTTGTTGCAGGAGTAGCTGGATAAATTCCTATAGGTTTTTAATAAAATTATCTGAGTTCATCATACATACCAAAATGAGCTCCTGTATGCTTCCATCAGGCTATTTATACACTGAAAATGCAGGAACCTCCTTTCTGACTTCTGTCTTAAATCTGAGAAGAGTCAACTGGAAATCATATAGTTCCTGCAGTATTCAATCCTATGAAAACCTTCACAAAAGCTCTGCTCCGGAGTCCCATCCACTTCTTCTCCATTGCAAGGGGCCAGATTGCCGAAAGAAGAGGTGCCATCATTGAGCTGATATGAGCTGTCTCCCTTCCTTCCCCGGAGTATTTGTACGGGTCAGTCCCTCTAATATGTAAGCTCTCATCTCCTGGCAGTTTTCTCACAGGAGAGCTTCCCAGTTTTCCATCTCTCCTCGCTGCACAACCACCCACAAACAGCTTCTCAGTCATCTGAATGCTCGTAGATCAGTAGCATATAGCAAAGCTTTACAGAGCATGTGCAAACAACCTATACACTAATCCAACAGCACTGTGTTGAGGCTTGTCTTTATTTGCTGGGATAGATAATCAACTTTCAAAGAGCTTCTTCCTTAACACTTTGCTCCTAGAAGGCCATCAGTCTAATCCAACCCTGATTCTACCAAGAGCTATGGCTCAGCACTCTGTTATACTTCTGAGTGATGCCCGTCTCTTTCTCACCCATTCTGACTTCTTTTGATTGCCTGGATATGTCACCAAACTCTTCTGCAGGGTCCTGACAGCTGGTGTGAGTGTTATACAGCAGCAAATCTCTGCTTCTCTGAGCCTTTTCTATCTCCCACGGAGCTGATTGAATCTCTCCCCCCACTTGCCCTTTGCTATGGGGTGTAGAGTAAGCAATCCTCTGAATCTGACACTCTTCCTACCCTTCTTTTCCCTCACAAGTTAACTCCCAGCCCTTGCTGCTTCTGCCCCAGCCCCCTTCTGAGCGTGCTCTCATTAAGACCCCAGAGGGAGGAGGTGATGCTCTGAAATTGTCTTAATTGCTCTTGTTTATGCTGGTTACGATGGCAATAAGTTGCCATGCAGAGGAGGCTTTCTTCAGATGTGCAGGTTCTCCTTTGTTCCGTACTCTGAAGGATTGTCTGTAGGCAGCTCCAAGTCATTTACAACAATAGATTAATATGAAGATCAGTAATACTGGGTGACTCACAGTCACACACATGCGAGACCCGCCAATCGCTGTGACCTGCCACCGGATTTGAGGGGAAATTAAATGTTGCTGGCATGTTCTTGCAGGATGCTGAAGAGATGATGCTGAAGAGATAATTCTTTGCTCTTGGAGAGCTTCTGCTCTCCAGGAGCTCCCCAAACATGAACGGAGGATGCTTGCTTTCTAGGGCAGGCGGTGACTGTTACACTTGCTGGAAAGCAGGGAACTGGAGCAGAGTGTGTCTTTTGTCCAGTGTAAGTTTGCACGTGCCCAAGTTTAATCAGGGGTCAGGAACCCTGACTTTTAGTCCCTGATCTGTCTTCCCAGCACTCTATCATCCAGACCCTAAAGAGCATCTTTTATGTGTGTTGTGTTCTACTTGTGCTGTGTCCCATTTATCACCCTTGACAAACGACAGAGAACGGCTCTGTCACACGGGTTCCTCTCCAGACCTCTGCAGTGCAGTGTCTGGATCTTCATTTGGCAGAGACCCAGTGCAGACAATGTTGAGATACCTCAGCTGTGGGGTTGTCCCTTCTGTCCCACTGTTCAGGCTGCACTGCACTATGGGCACTTTGTTTTCCATTTTTACTTTCCTGAACAGTCCCAGCCTGCATCAGAATCACAGAATATTCTGAGTTGAAAGAGACCCACAAGGATCATCGAGTCCAAACCTTAAGTGGACCCATACAGGGATCAAACCTACAACCTTGATGTTATTAGCACCATGCTCTAACCAATCTCAGAGACACTCTACATCACTCTGATCCGCCCCATGACTCAAGAGGTCTGTGTGCCATCTTTTCCCCTAAATCCTTGTCTTGGGGATATATGTCCCCTCCTATGTCCCCACCAGTCCTCATTTACCCAGGACCCACCTTCTTCCATGTGCCAGGCACTCCACTCATCTCCTGCCTCTCTCATCCATCATTTGCCCTGCTGTCAGGGACTCATCATTCTCCCATCTTTCCTTTCCCCCGTGCTGGGTGAAAGGGGGGATGCCCACTCCTGTTTTTTCCCTGTTTGGGAGATGCATTATTCAACAGCAGGGAACACAGGCAGAGCTGTGAGGAAGGGCTGTGCTAGGAGGGATTAACAGCTGTCATCAACCTGCTCTTGACTCTGAAGTCCATTACAGAGCTGGGTCAAGCTGCTGAAACTCCTCACCAGTTTCCTATTTCCTACCTATTTTCAGTCCTTGGATGCTGACAACAGCCCCATAATTTCCAGTGGCAGGTTTGGTGCTCCTCGTTACCATATTGCACGTACTCCAGCAGGCAGACAAGTGCAGAAATTCTTTCCAGCTGAGTGTGACAAATTGCCTCGCTCAGTCCATAAGTAATGTGCCTCGCTGAGCCTGGCTAATTTTCTTCCCTGTATAAAACAGTGCGGTTTCTGCATAATTCTGTGCATTACAAAATCACCAGATCTCAAGGGCTCGATGGTGGGCCAGGCCCCGAGTGTGTCACTGAGCAATTACTGAGTCTCCACCTGCCTCTGGCTGAATAAAAAACCTTGAGGCAGCAGCTGAGGACCTGGCCCCTGATTAGACCCATGTGCTTTTCCATACCAACAGAAGTGTGTTATACTGGGTCAGCAAAGGGCTGATTCAGGAACGTGTCACATATATACCCCCAAAGAAGGTGCCTAGGCAGGACTAGGAAGACTTTTCTTCCATAAATATGTATTTCATGTAGAAATGTGACTTATATAAATGATTTGAAATTCTGTGTAATTAGTAACCCTCACTGAATTTCTCTTCCACAAACTTTTCCAGGTTCCCTTTAAGTTCATATACATTTTTAGCCTCTTCAGCATCCTGTGGCAAGGAGTTCCTCAGTTTAACCACACATCTTTCATTTGAACCTGAAATCCCCGTGTTCCCAGGAGGTTTTGAACCACCCACCTTTCGCACTGGTACACACTCACAGAGATCCCGAATTAGTCATATATTTAGCATTAATTTTTTTTTCTAATTTCTCCATCCATTTGAATCCACCATCTGCTGTAAATCTGCCCTGCAGTGTAGTCACCATTCAAGGAGAAATGCAGAAGAACTTGAAGCTCTTTGAGTGAAATAATGCAAAGCACCTGCATGAGGTGCCAGTGGTCACTTATGAAAGGGTTCCCTTGGAGTTACCACGTGTTGCCATCACTGTACAGTGACATCTCCCAAGCTTTGGAGCAGACTTGGTTGCTGATCCAGAAGAGGGCAATGGTGACACATCCTCACTGATGCTTCGAGCACCAAATCCACTGAGGACATCCACTGCAGGAAGGGAGCCAAGTAGCCAAACCACCCTGGCTATCGAATCTGCCTGTTCCTGGCTGGTTTGTGGCAAGCAGATTGAAGTGGGAGGCAGCTTTCAGCTACTGTCTCAGGTCAGATGGGACTGTCAGTCAATTGTTAATTATGACTCTTCTCTTACTAATTTCTGTAACTTCCATCACCATGGCAGCTAACTGCCGTGGAAAGATTCAGCCAGAAAAAGGAGAAGACAACCAAACTTTTCACAGCAAGGGAACAAGAATGAGCTACAGAGGAAGGGGGGTGAGGAAGGGATCTGTACATAGTCTTCTAGGAGAGTCTAATGCCATGTTCTGAATCCTAGAATAGCTTGGGTTGGAAGGGACCTTGAAGATCATCCAGTTCCAACCACTCTGCAGGGACACCTTCCACTATCCAGATTGCTCCAAGACCTGTCTAACCTGGCCTTGGACGCTTCCAGGGATGGGGCAGCCACAGCTTCTCTGGGCAACCTGTGCCGGGGCCTCCCCACCCTCACAGGGAAGAATTTCTGTCCCATCTAACCCTGCCCTCTGTCAGTGGGAAGCCATTCCCCCTTGTCCCATTATCACATCTGCCCTGGTCTGACCTGGTCAGTCAATCACTTTTAATCTTTGGTGATGGTTTTGAGTCCACAAAGGGAGGGAGGATGAAAAACTTGACAGCACTTTGAGATCTCTTTAATTTTTAAACTTCCTTCCTTCTGCTTATTTTGTAGCTTTTGTCCTGATGCTGAATGTGTTCTTTTCCCCATGTGTCACTTCCAGATGAATACTATGGGGATGAAATGCCACTTGGTCATCACAGGGCATTTTGCCTGGGAGGGCTGGATGGAAAGTCATAG